GCTCAGAGAAAACAACCACACTGGCACCCCAATTGCTATGTGCCCCCAAGATACAGCAATGCAGCAGCCATCACCCACTTATACTCCCACTTATATATTCAAGACCACACCGCGCACGAACAGCCGAAGTTAATGAAATGGAAGTAGCCATCTAGGCGCCAGGTTGGCTGTCTTACGGCTGCGTTGGAAGCATCTTGGGGCCAACTTCGTCTACCTTGGAGCCCATAATGGTGATACAACTTCGGCATTGCCAAAAGCCATCCAAAAATACACCTCAAAACGCTCTCCCCACTGGCCCTGCAGCTCAACCATAGCCACGCACGCGCAAAACAAAGGCGCCAGGTTGGCTGTCTTACGGCTGCGTTGGAACCATCTTGGGCCAACTCCGTCTACCGTGGAACCCAGAATGGTGATACTACTTCGGCATTGCCAAAAGCCATCCAAAAATACACCTCAAAACGCTCTCCCCACTGGCCCTGCAGCGCAACCATGGCCACGCACGCGCGAAAAAAAGGCGCCAGGTTGGCTGTCTTACGGCTGCGTTGGAACCATCTTGGGCCAACTTCGTCTACCGTGGAGCCCAGAATGGTGATACTACTTCGGCATTGCCAAAAGCCATCAAAAATACACCTCCAAAACGCTGTCCCCAGTGGCCCTGCAGGCCGAGCAAGAATCAACGCAGCAACCAGCCCAAAACACAAAAACTCCTCCAAAACGCTCTCCACAGTGGCCCTGCAAACACGACGTAACGAAAAATCATCCAAACATGTGCCTCCAAAACGCTCTCACCAGTGGCCCTGCAGTCCAACCATAGCCGCGCACGCGCGGAAAAAAAGGCGCCCCCCACCCCGAGCAAAGCTATTTGCATGGCAGCAGAGCTTAGAGAGCCCCATAGCACGCCCTGCACCGACAAGCTGTGTGGGCAGATTTTGTTCACTGATTTTGCCGTGCTTTTCAAGGATTTCCACAGCAACTTTCGAGTAACCAACTGCACCAACCTCCAAAAAAAACAAATATCTGTTTACGCATCCTTTTGGATGTTCAAAGTGAGTTGACGATCACCTTCTTAGCCTGAAAGGCCTTCGAAAGGCCTTCCCATTGACGTTCTTCCTGTGGACAAATCCATCATCAACTCTGCACTCTGTCTGCTCCTCATCTGGCCCCCACATGGTCACAGAACGCTCGCCGTGAAGCATATGGACATTTTCCTCTTGCGCTTCCTCACTGGCACTCCACACACCGTGGGCCGTGTAGCATAGCCCCTGCTGGCAGTAGAAGTCCTGCTCCTGACCAGGGCACGAGCATCGTTGCAACATTCGCATCATGTAAAGGGTAACGTTTCAATGGAGCTTGTTCGTGCCTTCGCAATGCTGACGATTTTGTCGCGAAAGATCTTTTCCGGCCCAGGAGGTAGTTTGCCAAAGCCATATCTAGGTTATATATGATATACCGGGATCTTCCAACTATGCAACATTTATGCCTTTTAGTGCCTTTGAGCTGGTGCTTTAGATGAACCGGCAAACATGTTGCACAGTTGGAAGATCCAGTATACATACTGTATCACTGGGACTCAGGACCGCAGTACTTCATGTCAACTTTCGCTTCAATCGAAGCCTGCATCTCATCTTCTTTACGGGTCGTGTTCCCACTTCAGTGACTGAAGAGATTGCACCGACTTCACCCGCGGCCTGGCCACGGAAGCCGAAGGGCACCGAGGGAGCCTCCAAGGCGTCGGACAGATGGAGCTCCTGGCCGCGAACGGAAGGAGCTCCTCCAAGGCTCCCAACCAGAGATGCATGAGAATAGGGAGACCCCATGAGACCCCCACACACAACAAATCCTCCTGGAAAAAGGTAAAATAGACCCAAAACCCATACACACCCAATGGGTTGTGATTCTTGCCATGATGGAAAGAAGCTGCTCCTCTTCAGCTTGAGCGCGCCCAACCAGGTTGTGACCTGCTTGATCCCTTTTTCAGGGGGCTTCAAAGGTCTATTTCCTTCTTCCAGGTCTGGAAATCATATCGCACATCCACCTGATCCGCATGGGGATTGGCACAAACAACCCTCCTTGTCTTCTCCGCCGGAACAAGGAACTCCAACTCACCCAAACACCCAGAGTTTTTGGTGAATGAGACGCCTAACTAGGCTGGACACCTCCAGAAACCATCAAACTCAACTTCTCGCTTACCGAAACAACATCGAACCCTTCCTGCCAGGAGTGGATCAAGGTGGTGGATTCGGACCTCTCCCTCCGCAAACGTCATGGGATCAAAAGGCGGAGGCACCCAACTCACTGGTGATGAGCAAAAGAACCCAGGTTTGAACTGGACGACTGGACAAGCCAAGCATGGCGAAGCAACTATCCTTGCAAGTCATTGGAGCCTAGAGCCACAAAGTTCTCGTGGGTAGTACCCATAGCTCACAAACACATGACAAAAAAATTCATGGACAGGAACACCATCAGGAACCATGCATATTCAAGAACAAGGGCCAACTATGAGCATCTGTGAGTATCCTCCCTCCTTTTCAACCATTGGTCGTGAACAATCACCTCAATCAAGCACCTCAATCAACAGCAAATCCCCAGGGCGTCCGTCCTCATGGTAACAATGTTGAACCATCTGTCCTCATGGTGTCGCTACTAGGAACAAGTGCATCGCTACTAGTAACAAGTGCCTTACTAGTATTAGTAACAATGTTTGCTAGTAGAATTTAAACTAAATTAACTAATAGCTTCTTGTTACTACTAGTAAGGCACGTGTTACTAGAGGCGATGCACTTGTTACAACCAAACACAACAAACCACTTAACTGAGGATAAACCTCCACCCGCCGCCAACCTACCCCTAATTACTGATCCCTAAGTCCAAACCCAACACGAGGGCCATCAGCCCCCAAGCGAAGTCGTGAAGGTGCTACACCCCAAAAGGACACACACACACACACCGTCACCCACCGCCAGAACGGCGCCACCGCCCCCACTCTCACAGGTCGGGGCTCCACGTGCAAGTGCGCCGTGGGGCAAAAGCCGACCGCGCCGCTGCTGGCGATCCGTTGCCCCCGCGTCACGGCGGCGCCCAGCGGCACTGCGGCCGACTGGCGAGGACGGGGAGAAGAGGACGAACGCCAGGTGGTGGGAAGCGGAGAGGTCAAGCGGTTTTTCGACATGGTTTGAAACTTCGTCGTGTCATGGATATGGTATCGTCATGGACCGACGCGGTCAGTTTCCACCCACTACAAAAGCAAAACAATGGTGGTACCGCAGCAAACACCCGGGCCCGCAGTAGCTTCCTAGCCAACCTGCCTTTTGATTGACCTCTGGGACTCACGCTTGCCTCGCCCTGTTTGGGGTGGAACCGCCCTTCCTTCAAAAAACGTACCATTCGCATTTTGCCACAAAAGAGCAACAAGTCGTATTTGGTAAAACACGTTGCGCTACAGCTTCAGCACAAAAGACAGGGGTGCCCTGAGTCCAAAAATGTGTCACTTCTCTGTCTCTGCCTGGATGTGGACGTATTCAGCCCAAGTGCCATCCACCTGCTTCACAGTGATCTGATTCCATTTGAAGAAGTTCTCCACATCGACTCCTGCAACTCTGCTACGTGCCACGCGCTACATGCTGCTGAGGCTGAAGCAACTCTGCCCTAAAAACCAAAGATGTGACCATCTGACATCTGCGGGTGTTCAATCTCCAAACACTCCATGGGTTGTTCCTGGTGATGCGGCCGGTCCTGAAGCCGTCTCGTTGTCGCGGATCTGTGTTACCTTACGTAGCGATATATCGCTACCAAAAACCAAGCAAATATGCTGAGATTGCAGGGAAACATTGTAAGCATCACTTGCATCTCTTACAAATGTACCATCTACATCTTAGCTGGCTCACGACCTTTCGATAAGGATACGTATAAACAAAAGGTTTAACAAAGCAACAAACATGAGTCAGCATGAGGTTCATGGTCGCCAGCTATTCTCAGCATCTGATCCATTTGAGAATATTCGGATGTCTCACGCAAAAAGAAGCCGAGCGAATCACACGAGAGATCAGAGCGATCACATCGATGTAAACCGAGCAAGCCAAAGGTTGAATGTGCAATGTCTAAGCCTAAAAAAAACAAAGATTCGATCATCGAGCTCACATCGAGCTCGCTCAAACATCCAGCTGAAGGCTGATGTGGTTTTTCAGGTTGTTTCAGGGGGCAAGGGGGATGCAATGGACCTTCTGGCTGGTGGCGTTGAGCAGCTTTTCATCTATGTGCCGCACATGTGCGGCATTCCGCAGATGAAGACCAAGCTGACATACTAATCTCTTGGTCTAAAAGATTTGTTCAAGGAAGCTGCAACTGATATGAACGCATACGTGGCAAATGGTTTGATTGCTAGAATTGATTCCTTCCTTTGACTGCGCAACAAAAATAACTGCTACCCTCCACTCAAGTCATCCAGCAATCTCTGTGAGAGGCCATCTGAGCAACTGGCAGAACTTCCAAGCGAACTATTGTTCACTCGTGTCATCTCTGCTGTCGTTTTGGTCGTTCACATTCACTAGACTCTGCAAACTCATCTGGTTACGTTACGATGGCGCCACCTCCATTGTAAAAAGGAACATGGCCCTTCATGGGGCCATTCAATCCACTTCCCAATGGATTTCCCCTACCGAGAACTCCTCCGACCCAAATCAAAGCCTGTCCCGCATGCCACATGCGGCTCACGTTCCTTGACTCCATAGCCATGCTGGGTTGCTATCCTTGAAGAGTCGATGACTTCATGATACTCAATGACTCACCCCGGCTTTGGTAGTGGTTGATTTATGTTGTTGTTGTTTTTAACAAATCTTTCGACACAAAAGGGTTCTCCACTCCATCAGCGGCATCTTCTTTGTTGTGATATCATATAGTATGGACCAATATAGTTATATATAACCTGTTGTCATTCAACCCATCAGCTGACCAAAGCTGTCCCAGATCCGTGATTTCACTGGCAGATTGACCCATTCTTCGACCCAAACGCCACGCCCTCTTCCATTGCCAACACGGCGGTGTTCACCGCGCAGTCGAAATCCAAGGCGTAAAAAGTGGAGGGGTGAGCGAAGTGCGTTAGCCTCCCGCCATGTCCTCACGTTTGGCATACGTACAACATACCCGCAGTCGTGCGCATGCAACCGTAGTTACGAACAAAATAACGCGAAGGGTAGATCTTCCGGGAGGCGCCTCATCTTGCAGTCTCTGAAGATCCAAGAGGTGTATCCTCTCTGTTGGACAGTTCGCCCTTGTGTAGCAATGCAGAAAGAGGATTTGCAAGACGGGCAAGGGAAATGCAATCAGAACAGTGGAATTAAGTTTGACGTTGGACAATCTGAACTTTTGTCAAATGTATGGGGTGATGCGTGTGTTTTGATTCTCTTTGTATTACTTTCTATCATTGCAAAACACATGCTACAACTACTGACTTGTGCTTCGTAGGGAATGAGGGTGGCAGGATCCCCAAAAAATCTCTCTTGAGGGGCTCAAGCCCTTCGAACATCGACAACCTCATGCGAGGCCTCGAACGCATGTAGATACCTCAAGTCGACTCTATAAGAGACTCACGGACAACCTGTAAAACTTTTGGGGTAGCTAACCAACACTGACAAACAACATATATTATAATATGAATGATACTGATAGCATATTACAATTGGATTTGATATGAACATAACCAAGCCTCCTGGCCTCTTCTGGCCACCTCTTCCAGAGGATACTAGGGCAATGCTTTTACATCTTTTCATCGGACCTACCATCTACACTTGCACGAGGCCGACGTGCACTCCGCATGACATGCCAGGCCAGTCATGTGCGGTCCTTGGGAGCACAGAAAGGGCCCACCCTCCAGTGGAAAGTCGTAGACAAAGCTTCCTCGAGCGACGGAGCAACAAAGCGACCCACAGCACTCCTTTTTGTGTTGCTTTTAGATTGTTTAAACCTGATAGGAGGTACCTCAACACTATCCCAGACATACGCTACATGTATCTCTATATATATATATTTATATTTATACATTTATATATGTATATATGTATTGTATTGGCTCAAGCCATTTCTGCTCAAGTTTCCGCGCCGGGACCTGGACCCCATCGACTGCACTGGGACTACGCCCCACCTACGCGACCTCCTCGAGACCGCTTTTGGAGAGAACCTGGGTGTCCTGGCAGGTGCTCTTTCGGAATGACCTGGACCAGATCGTACCAATGTTGCAGTCAGCCTGGCTGCAGCAATTGGATCTGGGAGGATCGCATCAAAGCCACCTACACTTGCCGGCTTTGCGGGACACCTTGGAAAAAGCCACTACAGGGCTATGCCACTGGGGGAGAAAGGACCTCAAAAGGCTGGAACAAGCCAAAACCACGAACTGTGTCGCCTCCACCGGGGTTATCAACAGGACGGCCGCCTCGACCTTCCAAATTGCAGAAGACTGCTGCGGAGATCCTGGCCCCGGCCTGGGGCTCTTTGGATGAGACCTTGAAGCTGAAGCTCACTGAGGTCGGCATCAACCCGACACCCAAGGTCAGTGAACCGGACTTGACTGATGTCCTCAAAGAGAACCTGGCCAGCCTTCCGGCCCCGGTCAAAGAACTGGTTGAGAAGATCACCAAGCCTCAGCCAGAGACGGAAAAGGACATGGCATCCCGACTCAAACAGCAAGTCTCCACGCTTCGGGACATCTCTCAGCGGAAGCACCTTCTGCAGCAGAAGATTGACAACACCAAGAAGCATTACCAAGAGCTCCTTGATGAAATGAAGACTCTGCAAGGCAGACTTGAGCAGGAACAGGCATCCTTGAACACCATCAGCACGGCCTACCTCACCAAGGTCAGTGCTATTCAGGCTGAAAAGCCTCTTCAACCTCTCGAAACTGAGATGGCAGATTCTGTGCCGGCTGCAGTTGCAGGCTTCATCACCACTTTAGGAGTCAGCTTGACCCAGGAACAAAAAGAGCAGTTGAACGTCATGCTCAAACGTCCTTCGGTTGATGCTGAAGCCATTGATGAAGAGGCCAAACGCCGCAAGACTGAGCTTGGCAATGCAGCGTCGTGTGGGTAGCCCTCAGGCCATCCCCACACAAATGCTTTCGGTTTTTGAACGGGGACTTACGTCATGCTCCCTTGATCATGACTTGGGACAACCTCAACTGGCATGCAGGGGTAGTGCATCTTCAGTTGAACTTTTGCTTTCAGGCTCAAGCGAGGGCCTATTTTCTTCGGGCACCGGCTATGGGCCGTACCGGCATCCCTTGACGAAGCTCAAGGTCTACGGAGGGGCTATCTCCTCCTCTGAGACACAGGCCCGAGGCACAGCCGAGGCACCCACTGAACAGCCCCCTCGGGGGACTGTTTCTTTCGGGACCTTGGCTGTGCACTCCTTGGCCAACCTCCTCAACATGGAGGCCGAGACTGACTCGTCTCTCTCCTTTGAGCAGCAGACAATGTTTGATCTCTGCAGCAAGGACTTGTTGGCGTCTTGCCAACAGTACGGCAGAGGTCCAACCATTCATGGAGGCCAGCAACTTCTGGCGGACTTGAAACGGATGCAAAACCTCATCCATCGCCACCTCAGTGTTCCCGGGGAAGTGGAACACACTGTGGCAAACATTTTTGTGATCTCCCAATGCCTCACCAGCATTCTGACCAATCCACGGAACCTGTGCTATGGCAACGCTCCCTGGCGGTGCTGGTGCTGGACGGGAGCTTTTGCTGATGATGTCACCCAAGCTTGGGGCAACACCACTCAAGCTGTTCGACAATTTCTTTCGGATCCAGAACCTCAGCTCTTGACTGGGCTGCATGACATGCAGCAAATATGGGCACAATTTGACTCAGAAGAGCAGGCTGATGCCGTTGATTTCCTCCATGCTTTGTGGACCTTTTCGGGAAGTTCTTTCTTTGCGGGGAGGTTCTTTCACCGAAGTGAACGAGGCCACACGGAAGAGAGGGAACAGTTTCCCTTAAATCTCATTTTCCCTGACGGTGATCATCCCATGACCCTGGACTCCTTGGTCAACCTTTGGGCAGACGAGGGGCGGGGACAGTTTCTCTATGGCGCCCCGGGCGGTGTGGTCCTCAACCTGCAGCGCTCCACCTTGCAAGGAGGTGCCTGGACGAAACACCACCGGGAGCTCGAGCTCCCCACAGGAGTCAGGCTGCCATTTTCTGAGGATGGCATCAACGTCCACATGGCAAACTATCAAGTGGTGGGCCTGGTCACCCACCAAGGAGCATCACACGAGAATGGGCATTACCAGACCATTTTGGCCATTGACAACATCTACTGGTTGGCTGATGATGGGACCTTTCCCACTCCTCTGCCTCACCTCACTCTGCAGCAGAGGCAGGAAATCGCCCAGATCTGGCTCATCGCAGCTGCCACTGATGAACTTGTTCCGGACACTGCTATGGAAGTCGCTGAATACCTCCCAAAGAAACCCAAGACTTGCCAAGAGACTCTCCACTTTTCCTTCAGCAACGTCACCTTCTTTGGCAAGAAAGTCCAAGATTGGGTCTGGGGGCAAGGAGACAAGATCATGCTCTTTCAGGAGACCCATCTTCAGCAAAAGGCGCTGGACACCTCGCTCCAGTACTTCCACAGTCGAGGATGGAAATGCCATGGGGTTGCAGCTGAACCAACAGGCAATGGAGGATCAACAGGTGGCTTTCTCACCTTACATGCCACCAGGCACTTGATCCACCATGTCCACACCTACACCAAGCAAGGGAATGGTTGGACGGTCCTGGCCATGCAACGGGATGGACTTGAGCTCTACATCATTCAGCTCTACCTTCGCACTGGGGAACCACTCCAATCCCCTCTCAATGCCGAGCTCCTGGGACAGCTCTTGCAATTCCTGGACCACCTTCAAGCTCCTTTCATCATTGGCGGTGACTGGCAAACAGCTCCTGAGGATCTTGCGGCCACCACGATACCCAGCAAGTTTCGTGCTCAGATCCTCGCCACACCTGGCCCTACGACGCTGCAAGGAAGCCACTTGGACTTCATCCTGGCGTCCACATCCATTGCCTCAGCCTTGCACCTCGAAGCTGACTGGGAAGTTCCGTGGAAGCCTCACTGTGCCCTCTCGCTCAGGTTTGACTGTCAACAAGCCGCCCTCCCTGTTCAGCAGCTACAACGGTTTCCTCCGGTGACTCGCAACTACCACCCCAAGCACCTTTGGACCAGCTTTCATGAGGATGATGGGCCCTTTCACATCCTGGGTCCACTGGTTTGGGATCGGACCTGGCGAGATGGGCCACTCAAACTGAGAAATACCTCAATCAGCACCTCCATAACCCTGTCACAGGCAGAGGCTCCCAGGTGCATTTGTACCAAGCTCCTCTGGCCACCTCCGACAAGCCAAGAGTCTGGAAGAAGGGCAGTGCGGCCTTTTGGGAGAAGCTCGGAGCCAAGATCAACCTGGCCAACCTCGGCAGATACCCAGGACTCCTTCAAGACCTCAAGGACATGGCATCGAGGATATCTCAGCATGCCTCCAAGGAACTCGATCAATCAAGCTTTGAGGAGCAGCTCCTGAAATGGATCTTTGGCGGCAATGTGCCACATGCACACCTCCTTCAGATCGTGCAACAAGAACAACAACTAGCACAAGAACAGCTTCTCAGTGCCACGAACCATGAGTTCCGAGAGTGGTTGGAGAAGGCTCACGACAAGGGCCTCAGGGGGCTCTTCCGCAGCTTGAGACAAAAAGATCATGCGTGGCAACGGCCCTTCCAGGACCTCCCTCCCACTTCTCGCACCTCAGCCAGAGAACAGCAGTGGGGTGCCATCTGGATTCCACGAGAGGATCCCATGCCTCTTCGCGGTCTTCAAGAGCTGAAGCGGGTAGCACAAGCTCATGCTTTGCAGATGAAGCCGATTGACTCCAGTCTTCTTCAGAAGATCATGCGACGGCTCCCGAACAAGGCAGCCGGACCAGATGGCATCTCCTATGACTTCTTGAGGCACCTTCCATATCCTGCAGTCGAGAAGCTCTCCCACCTTCTCACTGAGATGGAGAAGGAAGCAGAACTGCCAATCCAGCTGCGTCACACCAACATCGTGATGATTCCAAAGAATGAACGCATTGAGAGACCTATTGCGCTCACCTCATGCCTCTACCGGCTCTGGAACAGCTATCGGAAAGCCGAACTCCACAAGTGGCAGCTGGGTCTCGACAAGGACATGCCATGGGATCACGCCAGGCCACACAAGGACTGTCTTTCGATAGCAGTTGGCCGCATGCTCAAAGCCGAGATTGGGAAGCACCAGGGCATCCACACTGTCACATGCCTGGCTGACCTCACCTGCTTTTACGACACGGTGCAGCTGGACCATCTCATCGAACCAGCGACCAACCTCAATTACCCTCCTCTGCACCTCAAGCTGGCTTTGGACCTTTACTCTGGTCCCAGGCTGATCCAAGCGGAGGGCTTGGCAGGAAGCCCCAAGCACTACCAGAATGGCATACTCCAAGGATGCCCTCAAGCTCCGGCCATCGCCAAGCTTGTGCTTCACAGACCGCTCCAAACCCTGGTCAGAGAGCATCCGGCCGTCATTTTGCAGACTTGGGTGGACGACGTCTCCTATGACATCAAAGGCACTGATCCGGAGTATGTGGCCCGGGAGGCGGTTCTGGCTTTCAGGACTTTGCAATCCACCCTCGCGGCAGAAGGGCTGAAGCTGAACACGGAGAAAACTGGCTTCATCACAAGCAGCAAGGAATCGGCAAAAGCCCTGGATGCTCAGCTCCGGGAAGACGATCCCAAGCATCACAACATCCTCAGAGACCTCGGCATTGACGCCACCAACTCACGGCGCAGACGCATCACCCAAATCAAGAAAAGATTCTTGAAGGGCAGAGGACGGGTTGGCATCATGCTGCGTTTGAAGCTTGGCAATGCGACCAAGTACCGGCTACACCGTGGAGCAATTCACCCAGTGATGTCCTGGGGGGCTCAAGCAAATGGCCTTGCTCCACAACGACGTCAGCAACTGCGGGTCTTGGCTGGCAGAGGCCTTGGACTACAAAGATCAGGCTCCGTTGACGTCGTTTTCGACATGCATCCTGACAAGAGTGATCCTGGTGACTCCATCATCCTCCAGCACATCCACACTGTATGGAAAGTCCTCCATTCTTTCGACTCCAGTGCTCAGCACCTCTTTTGGATCAGCTGGAACTCTGCCTTGGACCTCCTCCTCAAGGCCAAGCATCGCTGGCAAGTCGTCACTGGACCTCTTCAAGCGCTACAAGCTTACCTGTTGGATTACGACTTTGACATTTCCAATGGCAAACTATGGAAGAGAACAGGCTATGGTGGAATCCCAGACTGCTGCATCAGCCTGGAAGCCCTTTGGCCGGAGATCCAACACAAGCTCAATGAGGAATTTCAGTGGCAACGATTGCTGCGCCTGACCAGGTACGAGGGTTGCCACGATTTGGAGAGGAAGTTGGATTGGAGCGTCAGCAAAACTCTCCAAAAGATGACCAGTGAGAAAGCTGCCGTCGGCATCCGAGCCCTGCATCAAGGCACTCTCCATGGGCAGACAGGGACATGTCCTCTGTGTGGCGTTGAGCTGACCTTCATCCACCTCTTGTGGGAGTGCAGTTTTTGGGAAGGACGTGTCCAACCACTGCCGCAACAATGGCGAGAAAGAATCCAGGCCAACTCCGAGCCTGAACTCTGGAATAGGGGAATGACTCAGTCCATTTTCTACATCCCAGATGGCGGCATGGCCACATTTTCTGGCGAAGGCTTATGGGCGGATCTGGAGGCGTGCAATTTGCCTGCAGGACATGCAGTTTCCTTGGCCGTGGCGCCCACTTTGTCTTTGCCATTTGCATCCACCAGGTTTTCACCAGAGAGCGGGTCGCCTCTTTCACTGGCATCTGTCCTGGCAAAGCCACTCGGTTGAGAGCTTTGTTCTACGGGTTGAAACACCTCTCACTCCACATCCGCGACAAGGTGCATGTTGCGGTCTTTGACCATGCCATCTGGAAACATTGGTCCTTCTTTGCTGCTCATGAGCGTTTCCCAGACCTCAGCATGGGACTGGAGCATGAGGACTTTGATCAGGTCCGTCTTCTCCTCTTCAACAGGAAGGAACTGGATTCGAATCTCAACAGGAAAGCCTTCCAGCGAGACACGCAGGCAAAGGCAAATCAGGCAGCACTTTTGGCCAGACCCGAAGAGATCATCGATCTTCAGAAACACATTGATGAAGACACTCGCGATGTTCTTAGTGTGGCCGGAAACAGAATGAACATCCTCCTCACCTGCAAGGAGCACTTTCTTCATCGCAAAGCTGCCATGGTGGACAACTTGAAAGTCCCTTTGATCCAACAAAAGAAGGATCTCCTGGCCAGCTACTTGAAGAACCCACAGGCTGAGGGACATCAGTGGCAGCTTTTCAGGTCAGGCATTCAGTGTGCCCACTGCCGAGTGCGATATCACACCAAATCGCTGATCAAGGAGCTACGTGATGGCCTCACTGTGCCATGCCCACAAGCAGCTCCCAAGTCTGCTCCAAAGAAGACCCGCTTTGAGGTCATCCATGATCTTCTGGAGAGCCAAGGTGAGGTGCCGCCTGGCACTCATCACCTGCGCTTGGAGAAAGCGTATCTCCGCTGCACCCGCTGCAGAAGCTACGTGTTGGCAAGGGCAGGAGAGGAGATTTTCACCCGCTTCGTTGGGGAAGTTTGCCATCATGGACCTCTGGCAAGCAGCCTCTGGTTCGGGCACCCGACGCACCACATGCACCGCTCGGGCAATGTGGTCGAGTGCCTTCAGTGCCATGCCAGAGCGCGCTTTCAAGACGAACAGGTCAAGCTCACGGAGAAACTCAAGAGGAGATGCAGCACCACCTCTACCTCCCGCGACATCCGCACGATGTTGGCATGAGTCCAACTGAACTCGTTCATGCTGAAAAGAGCCGGACAAAAAAATAAATAAATATATATATGTATTATATTTTTGTATATATATATATATGGCATTCTTGATCATCGTTGCATACGTAGGACCACCGCTGTAGCAGTTCTGGGCCCGAGGGTAAATGTGACGACCGAAAGGTCATCAGGAAACTCATGTGAATGTCATGTTGCTACTGGTTCACTGGTTCATTCTTCATGGCAAAAATTGTATTCACCAACAACCATGCATGCAAAGCTTTGATGTGCTGCCATAATCAAGGTTTGCTCAGTTGCTCTTGCTCAAAAAGCGCTCCAGCCAACCGGATGTATCTCTGAGTCGGTTGCTGAGCTTTGTTTCTTCGCCCACTTGATATCACTTGTCTGGAAAACACCTCCCTGGTCGAAGGTCTGAGTTGGACTCTAGTCTAGTGGTCTTATGGTCCCACCTCTCTCTCATGCTGCCATACAGCAACAAAACAAAAAGTCTTAAGCTGGTGCTCATCACATCTAAGCAACATCTCCTTGCTCTCATGAAACACTGTGAAAGACCTGGACCTGAACCACTTCATACCAATTCACTGCGGCCTGCTGCCATGTTACCCACCCAGATCCTGAACCACAGATGGTCTCCCCGCCAGGATCCGCCAGGTGGCTCCCAGGCGGTGTTCGCTCGGGAGGAGCTGGCAGCGGCAGGATATCCGAGTGGAGCTCCAACGATCGCACATCCTGGGATAGATGAGCAGCGCCGTGATGCTCCGCTGCTCCCCGCGCCAACGGCCCACACTTACTTGGTGTCCCCTGCGAACACATGTGGATTTTCATCCTTTCGATGCTGTTGGTCGACCCCCCCCATCCCCCGTTTCTTCATCCTTGACCTTCACCCGGCAAACGTCCATCACCATCTGGCCCGGCACCACGAGCCTCGGGTGGATCGGATCGGATGCTGAAAACAAACCCGGACCGGTCGCTGATGAGTGGAGTCATGAGTGGCCAGGGTGCGGAATGGCACTAGTTATATAGGTGGAAGGGATATAGGTCACGAAGATAAATGAAAAGAGGGTATACGGGCCAGTTCTCCATCCAACCCAGGTCTCGAAGACTCCCTTCTGTGGCCGTGAGTCCAGAACCTGCTAGACCATTGACAACACAGCTAGCACAGTGAGAGTTGTTCCTCACTCCCTGTGCAGTTGTCAAAGAAACAAGATGAAACAACCACGGCCCTCGTATGCATGTCTATTGATAGCCGCTTCATAGAGGAGATTCGGGGTGTCCAGCATCCATCAACCACCCCTTGTGGGTGAACATAAGCTGACCTCCACTCACCAGAATCTGTACAAAATCTGTACCATTCTGTACCAGATCCACTTGGAAGATCTGGATTTCGATCACCACTCCAAGAAGTTGGATTCCTTTTCCACAGGTCATTCAACTTGAAACCCAAGCTTGGTGGTTTCAGACTGTCCTTGCGGATCTTCAACGACCCTCCTGTCTGTCCTCCGGTTTTCCTCCATCCGTCTCCAACATGATCCTTCTAAGTGGGACGCCGCACCCCACGCACGACCTGCGCCCCCGGTCCGGCACCGGTCCAGGCCACACCAAGGTCGTCACAGCGTCGACGGTCGTTCCTGACAGAACGGACTTGGCGTTGCCCGGATTTGCTGCGGGGGTTCGGATGCCATGTTTTGATGGTTTGGCGCGTTCGCGCCTTGGCAGCACGCAAGTCACATTTTTTTTTAAAGTTCATGTTGGAACACACATTCTGAAAGATGGTTTTGCGCAAGCGCGTGAAAGCAGGCAAGTAAAATCAAGCAAGTGGAAGGCTCCCTGATTTCCAACAAGGCCACTGGAGAAGGGAACATACGAGGGAAACCACCAACCCTGGTCGGTTTGTTAGGTTTTTTCCTAGCTTGCTTGCAGGATTTGGTAGTCTGCTATGTAGGCTCCATTTCAACGGACCCCCCAAAAAAACCTCTCTGATACCAGTCAATCATTTCTTGCAAATTACATACCTATCTGAGTGAAGATTGAAGACTTCACCACTTAAAGCCTTATTGGACTCTTATTGGACTTTTCGACTGTTTCTCCTTAGCGGCGATCCTGTCCGATCCTCGCACCTCCAAATGCCCCCCCCCCCCCGTTCCTTCCGCTTCCACCGCACGCCTCTCCAGCTGCGGCCCGGCGCCAGCGGCCGCCCGCGGCGCCCGGTGGCGCCGTGGCCCAGGAGGGAGATGTAGAAACACCTCCGGTGGATGCGCCACCGAGTGGATGAGCTGGGCTGGGAGCGAAAGGATGCCAAAGGTAGCCACAAAAGCCCTGACTGGAGAGTCAGAATCAAGATGGATAATGATCCAGTTGATCAATGATGGGTTGATTAGCCCCAAGTTGAGTCACGTATCAAGATTGACTATTGACTCATGGATTCCTTTCGCACTGCAACCCTGGATCACCTGGATCCACTGAGTGGTGAGTCACCTCCTGCAGGAGCAGTGGCAGCTTGCTGACTGAGAGGTCACCAGCTTGCTACAAGTCTTTGGAGCCTATCAAAGGAGGTCAGAAGATGGGCACCTCTGGAGGTCTCCAAACAATAAATTAGTCAGTCCACCAAAAAATATGGAACACGGATGAAAACGATGGAACATCACATCTCTTGTCTAGAACATGACTTGGTCATCGCTTCCTGAGGAGGAACCATTGTTGATCGCTCTCCCTGCGCAGTTCGGCCGCGCGGATCCTCGCGGTTCCGCAACACGTTTCATCCAGCGCCTCGTTTCATCCTGAGCATTGATCACACTCAAGACCTGCGCGGGTTCATGGATACCCAAAAACCGTTGGTAAATCGACCGCAACCGCGGCGGGGTTCAGCTGGCGTGCAAAAGGGCATGTGTTCTGCTGGCGTGGCAGTTGGGTGGGGTCAAGAAAGGTTGGTGACCGGAGGATTCAGGTGTTTTTTTTTTTTTAAACATGCGCTCTGGAAGATGAACATGGAACCTGAGAAGTGATCTTTGAAAGACTATTTTGCTCTACAACCCAGTGGTTTTAGTGTTTTATAGTTATAATTTTCCACAGCGTATAACGCATCTCTTGTGATTCTGCGGCAAACACATCCAACATATGTTTGATATTTTTTGTACTACATGATTGGCAGAATAGGCACTGCACCTCAGCAAACTCAAAAGGGCTCGCAGTAAGCTTTCTTGGAGCCCTCTAGGATGGAAACCAACAATTGCTGGCCCAGTGGTGGCCTGGCCCAGTGGTGACCTCGCAGCCGGAGGAAAAAAAACCGGGGACTCCGCTCACTCCACTTCCGGAGGAGTGTTTGGAGCATGTTTGGGCTTGCTGAGGTTCAAACACATCCAAACATGCGACTATACAACGCTTTATGTTTTTTGTTCTTTTTGGTGTGTGTGTCTATAGAGTTTTCGCACCCCCTCGGGCACCGCCGGTGTGCGGAGCTCTGTTCATAGAACGTCCGAACGGAGGTTACATGGTTCGACTCCACCCCCCGCTCGACCCGGTTCGTCTCAGCGGTTCCTCTGGCGGTTCGCGTGGGTCGCGCACCTTCCGGCGCGGATCCACCGAGAGGTCTGGCAGGTCTCCATGGAGACCAGCCGAGCGCAAGTCCTGCGCGCTCGGATGAGCTCGCAGGATCCCGGCAAAGCAACAGAGGTCAAGCGACCCATTTTAGGACCCTATATAGTGGGGTTCCTATATAGAAATACAGAATACATCAGAATACCCACTTGAATTCTGTAGTGGGGTACCTATAGGTGGACCCAAAACCTCTTGCAGCCATCAGGAAAGCTCGGGATGTGGAGATTCTTTTGGGGTCTTGGCAATCTTGTTGCATCGTGTGTTGCAGTCGGGGGCTGAAGACGCATTCTCGGTTCTTCCAAATTTGCCAGCAGGTTGAAGCATTGGAGGTAGGGTTCCTATGGGACACCCACTACTCAGACCCGACCCCTTGTAGAGGTTTAAGGGATTGACCAGTTGACCTCCCATGGAGTGTACCTTGATAGTGATTTTGAAGTTATCACCATTCGATCTGGTTTCTAGCAATCATCCATGGCAAGGTGAGTCCATCATATGGCAGGTCTTACACATTGCGGACAATGTTGTTTGCCCTGCGGGTCGTTCGCAGGGCACACCCATCGAACTACGCGAACGAACACGAACCGCCGCATTCGTCCGAGCGGGGGCCTCCAATCCCAAGATCCAATCAACCTTCCCATGCGCCACATGGCACCCTGGCCAGTCGCCTGCGCGGGCGAACATGCAGGCAGCCCATCGGTTTGGGGGGACCTGCAAAGGGTCGGGAAACTCTCCAGCGAAAGCAGCATGTAAGTGGAACAGGCACCTGTGAAGACCTAGACAACTGGGAGAAGAAGGCCCGCTCTTAGTGAATCGCAGTAAAACAAATCAAATGAGAGACCTATATCAGACCCAATTCGCCCCCCCCAAACCAATACCAGTCTCTCCGGCAAAACCCCATTCCGCCCAGCTCCGCCATCACCCGACGCCTTCGCGTGGCCGCGCGCCACGGCGAGCTGCTGTCTCCTCAGGGGGGGACGACTACAATCCACCATCAACCACCCGAACTCCCCGGTTCTATCAGGACATCTTCTGGAGAACTCGATCTGGATGTTTTTGGAATCTTGCCATGACCACAATGCTGAAAGTGTTTTCTGCACCTGAGAGTTCCCAATGATTTCTGTTTGATTAGGACACCTGGCGTGCAAAAAACATGATCTTCAGAACTCCCGACATGGCAAAGACCTATAGGCGAACAAAACAACACATCCACAAACATCTAAAATCGTGTCCGCGATGTTGTTCTGATCTCGGCTGCAAGGGTAAGCCAACCCATTCAACACCTCCAGCATATGTGCTGGTTTGACCAGTAATCAGGCATCACTGGTTGAACAACGATCCTCGTGCAAGTAATTGGAAGATACTCATTGAACAAACCTCCAGCACCTGTGGGGGTGTCATGATTTCAGACCCTAAGTAGTTGAAGACTCTTGATGAATAACCCCCCCAAGCCTGAAAAGGATTCATCAAAAGTCTACATTGGGGGGGTGTTCTTCATCAAGAGTCTACATTATATAGTTGAAGGTCACGCTGTTGGAAAATATATGGAAGCACGGAAGATCTCTCCGTCCCAACACCAACCTCCGGAGGCGATGGCCTCGCCTCGCCCGCGTCCATCTCTTGGCATCTCGCGGGCGGGGGAGGTGGAGAGTGAGATGTCCGGTCTTGATCGGTCTTGAAGATATGGACGTCTGAAGACGTCTGGAGTTGTTCTTCAGGTGGTTTGGAAAGTGGTAAGGCATGACAAGGAGAAAATGGCTTCGTTATACCAAGCTGGTCACTATTTCCAGCCTGAACAAGCTGGAGATCAATCAAAAAGGCCGCTCCTGGGAGACATGCTGAATGAAGTTGAAGTTCCAAGAGCTGCAAAGTTCTGGACTGGCCACTGGCGGATTGTCAGAACTTTCATGGCTTTAGCTTCTGCATGCTTCTGCTGAGGTATGTGAGATCAAAGGCCAAGAGTTGCAGGGCGACGGGCGAGGATTTGGAACGAGACGATGTCATGCTGGGAAGTGCCAAACAAGTCGGCCGAACCCGTGCGTTTGGAGCTTTCACGAGTTCGGTGCCCCCAATCCCGGTTGGGAACCCCAAGAAGCACCTGCTGGGGATGACATGATTTCTACAAGTTCTACAAGTTCTCCCCTTATGTTTTTACTAAGCACCCGATTGGAGGTGCAAAACAACAAGCCAGTCAACCTACTGGCCGCAAGTTAGTCTTTGGATCATCCTGCAACCATGTGGTGAACGAACTTGCCCATCAACAGGAGTCGATTTCTTGGAAGCTTCCAGACTGTCCGACGTTGATTTCTTTGTTTAAGAAACATGTGAAGTTGAAACCCCTTCGAAGTCAGCTGTCTTGCACATGTCACTCTCACTTCCAATGATGGCAAAATAGAGACCTTGCACTTCCCGTCAACAAACCATGGGGACACATCATGGCCGAGAATCCCACATCCGTCCTGTTCAGCGTCTCTTCCTTCGGTATAGTAGTTCTTCTCCGGACTTTTGCCACTTCTTCGACCACTGCATCTGCCCAGGAAAATGCTCCAAGCATCGCTTGGCCGAAGGCATTCCCTTCATGAAACGGTCAGGGTCCGATCTGTCAAAAGGTGCGGAGGTCCGGCACACCAGTCATGCCTACGACATACGGAAGACCGTCGATCTCTGGTGGTGTTGCATGTGATGTGTATTCTTTCAGACCCCTGGCGTGGAACTTGACCCCCTGGGAGGTGAAGGGAAGTAGACCGGTCTACCATATACAAATTGCCGGGGCGAGATTTCGATTCTGTTCGAATCCCAGAGATTGAGTGCATCCTAGAGGTTGAGTCAATCCCAGAGATTGAGTGAAGACCTAAATTCATCCAAATGACCCATACTTAGTACGGAATATAGATGCAAACATGTTGCCCGATATTTGCATCATTAATGACCACACCTAATCATGTAAGATTCAACTATTCAGCTGTCCAATATACATGGATGGTTTGAGATATTATATGATATTATGATCTTTCGCAGTGGTTGTAATGCCTTTGGAGCAGGGCCTGTTGTACCATTTGACCCCAAACACGGCCGTATTTCTTACGCTTCTTAGCACAGGAACGCCCAGTTAATCCACATTGTTGTCCGAGCCTCTCGTTGGGTGCTTCACGTGTGCACACATCCAATGTAACGGGACTGGTGTGCTTTCATGATAGTGACTCAAAGAGTCAAGTGACTTTAGTATAGGTTCTTGGACTAGAACAGGGACAAAAGCAGAACTCTGCACCACTCTGCCAAAAAAAACAATCGATGAAAATCCACTAATATGTGTCAAAGAATAACCAACATGAGGACTTTCCAGTCTGCATGCTTGGTCCCAGGCAGTGTTGAGATTTGCTGCAGTTTGTTTTCTTACTTCCTACATCTTCCTACCGGAGAGTTGAAACAAACTCTTTGGCCTCAACCTCTGTCAGGATCAGTGTTGAAAGAGTCGATCATTTGTTGTTATCTTCCTTGCCTTTCCTGCTTAAGTGGACCGTACCGGTCAGCATGACCTGCAAAGTAGATGGCAGTAGATGGCAGTGCCCCACCTCAAGCAGCAAAAGGTGTCTAGGGCCGACTATTCGGATGGGTTGCCTGTTGCCTTGGTCGCCTTTCTTCGACTGGACCCCACTCAACTCCCCATCTCAGATTGACACACTTCACGGAACACCACTTCTCACCAGGGTGAAGGAAATTCTCGTGATCTCTGGATTTATTTGATTGGTTCTACTCCAAAAATTGTGCCAATCTGCACAGGGCTCCCTTCTCAAAAATCCATCTTTAAACTTGCGACGGACTTATGAGGTGCAATCATGCAGCTCCTAACTCAACGGCCAGTTCACTCCGCGTAGCTGTGAAAGCGGGGCACGTGGAATTGGTTTGCGAACTCCATCTGCACCGAGTAATTACATGATAGTGATAGTGATTACATGATTACTTGTAATAACCTTCTGCTCTCAGTTGGTAGAGGATGCATTGAGATGCATTGATCTTCTGACCTCCCACAATCAGGGAGGACGTTCACTCGCGGAGAGCTTCACACGAAGCTCGCCACAACACCACAGCTCGCCGGACGCTCCACTTGGCCAATTCCATGTTTCTCTTCGGCTCCAATCGAACCGATGACCGATCGAGCTTCCGGACTGTTCTTTGTTGCTTCCATGGTCACGATCGATGTCACGATCGAGCTGTGGGAGACACGTCATGCTGTGTGTTCAGTCATGCAGTCATGCAGTAAAGGTTATTGTAGACTCTTGATTAATACACCCCCCACTTGAATTGAACATCCTCTTCAAAGGGGTGGTTTATTAATCAAGAGTCTACATTACAAGGTCTTTTCACTGCTGAGAAACAGGAGGAGAGAGCTTCTTGACGTGCTCTGCTTCGAAATGAGTGCACGCTCCGTGTTACGCACCAGCCCTTGTTTTGCATTGCTCCGTTGGTGGATAACAGGATGATAAAGGTTGGTGATCCCAGAATGCAAGCTCTGTCGGTCTGCAAAATGGCAGCCCACGGACACAGTTGCAGGCTTGTAGCTTTGCTTAGGTAAAAGGTCTATATAGCTTCCCTTGGGCTTTGCCTATCCTTCAATGACACGTGCAGCTGCTGGTCCTGCGAGCGGGGCAGTTTTGGCCCCTGGCCCCCCAACTCGTCTGCGGCACTCGCCAACTTGACGAATCACCCAGGTCAGCTGACAGCTGCTAGGCTACCACCTGCAGCATCATCGCAGCGTCGAGACCATGGAGTTTTCCTTCCCACGGCTTGGGAGTGCAACATGCTCAGCAAGTCCAGTGTTGGGTATTGTTATGTTATATTTAGGTGGTCCACGAAAAACATCGCCAAACCGTATCCAAAAGGAGTCCAAACTTCTTGCAGGTGAGTAATTACGCCCAGTTCCTATTCTGCTTGTCTCAGCAACATCACGGAGCGTTCGATCCAATGAGATTCGGGCCTCTTCGCCCGCGGGGAAGGAAGGCCGTTGTTCCAATTCCCCAAAGGCCCCTCTCCCAGGGCCGAAAAGAAGCACCGCCAGGTCAACACGCCTCTCGGCTCTCCCCAAGCTCCTGGCACCGCACCGTCGACCGGTCGACCGGTTGACCCACAGGTCGACCCTTTACGAGTCTCCAACGGGAGACCCAGGGGCACAGAGTCCGGTCTCTTGGGTAGGTGCCAGTCAAAGTATACAGCCAAATGAAGTAACATGGAAGGTACTTTAAAGGAGTCTCAGTTGATTTCTGAAGTTAGATGTTTACTTGGGTGCAGAAAGGCCTTTTCTTGGGTGCTATGGTTCATGAGAGGGCGCTGATTCCTGAAGCCTAAGAGACTGCCTACGAGTACTGTCCCGCACCCTTCTGGGCAACTTTGGAGGGTCGACGTCTCTCCAACAGCAGCTAACACACAAATAAAAACAAATACATAATACCTATAGAACCCCAAACCTATGAATTTGTTGTTTTAGCTCAAGACACTAGACTTGGAACCTGTAGAAAAGCCGTGGTTACCACTCATCTTCAAATTCTCGAAAAGAATTCACCTGTTCCACTTATCCGCTTTGTCGATCCAAGAACTCGACCTGGAAACCTCCCCCCAAAAAACGTCGAACAACTCTCCAGAGTGGTCGCTGTGGGAGTGAAAATCTGAACCTCTGGGAACCTCTGGGGGTAACACGACGACCCCGCGGTCGATCTTGGCTAGACACGACACTTTGAAAAGGCTGTTGGAAGAGTCAGCCACGCGCCACTGGGAAGAGTCAGCCACCCGCCATCTGCTTAGTTTGGCATCCCAAAAGAATCTGTTTGAACCGTCCCCAAATATCCCAAATAGTTCATGTTTACCATCAAGGTAAGTCGTTTTGTATCATTGTATGCAGCTTGGACAGCAGCTTGGACCATCCAACATATTACAACATGACCATCCTCCATGCGCTCCATGCTCGTATCCCAATCTATCTTGGTCTGGAGTGTGTGAATCATTTGCAGGCGTATAGGTGATGACTGGGTCTATCCAGGGTGACCTAGACTCTGGCTCACTAACATGAAACATGGAAGTGGATGGCATGGCCCCGGACTGTAAGGCGGCCTTCCTTGACCAAAAAGCGGGTTCTCCATGTCCATGTTCGTGAGCCGAAGGCCGGATACGGTCCCTCATCGCACATACGCGTTCACACCTGGCAATCGCCCGGTGGAACCGCCATGCTGTGACACACCTGAACAGCGACCGCCGTTCTTCCAACCGAGATGGAGACGAAGGACACATTCAGACCGGTCTGGAGTCAAAGGTGCCTAGTCCGAGGACATGGGTTTGTCCCAAAGACATGAAATCACCCAAATATCTCCAAGCCCAAGACTTGCTGAGACATGGGTTTGGATTCTCAACAAAACCAACAGCAACAATAAAGAGGGAACCAGCATTTGCCAAGCTGGAAGTATGAGTCGCCGTGTATGTTGATGGACACCGGAGCCCTGCTTTCCAGTCTTTTGCAGACCGCAGGTCAATCAATACAAGTTTGTCCAAACCGCACTGGGTCGAGAAGTGGCACCCAAACATGTCTTCTATACCAGGGCCTTCCAAGGAGTGTCTAATTATATAGCTCCTTAGAGGTGATTCGGGGTATCCAATGGGTATCCATTAACCACCCGTTAGGGGGTCGTAGATTTCGATGGATGTTGCCCCGGAGCACAGCAGGCACTGTTCGGCACTGTTCGGCCCCCCAATTCGTCCCAGCGGCACAGCAGGTATTGCTCTGCGGAATCCATTGAGCAATGCATTCAAAGTGGTACCTGGAACGAACCGGTGGACCCGGAGGCGCAAAAACATCACAAATCCACTGCCTGTGGGATGCTTTTGGGACCTGGTGGGACCTGGTGGGAAATGGACATTTCAAACTGGGACATGCTTGGTCTTGGATTTCCAGTAATTTCCAGTACTTTTAGCACATTTACGGACCATCCAAAGGCAGGAATCAACCCAAGAAATGCCCTTCCGCTTGCTGAGGCCCGGAAATTCACCCAAAACTTGAGGAAAACTTGAGGCCAGAGGGGGTGAACGAAAGCTAGCCGGGCTTCCGGTGGTCTGCTGCTGGTGCTGCTGCCGCTGCTGCGCTGGGCGCTGCTGCGCTGGGTGCTCTGCAGGCGCCGGGTCGTCTGCTGCTGCTGCTGCTGGCGCTGGGTGGTCTGCTGCGGCTGCTGCTGCCGCGGCGTTGGGTATGCTGCTGCTGCTGCTGCTGCCGCCGCTGGGTGGTCTGCTGCTGCTGCTGGTGCTGCTGCTGCTGCTGCCGCTGCTGCGCTGGGCGCTGCAGATGCTTGGTGTGCTGCAGCTGCTTGGTGGTCCCGCTCACCGCGCGCAGGGGGGGAGTCGAACCGCGGGGGGGGGGGGGGTCCATAAGATTGATTTAATCAATTATTTGAGGTTTCTGAGGTGCGTCCACCCCGTCACTTAACTTGCTAAAGCAAGAGCAACTCCAGCTAGCTAAGGCTAGCTTTCGTGACAACCGCTGTCGCCGCCCCACAGTGCCACACGGTCAGCAGGGGGTCACTCGTGCCCACAGGGCAAAACCCTCACGTCCTCATCTTTCTCCATGAGTTCCTCTCAAGGCCCGCAGGGTACGAGGAGTATGTGGGTGGCTTCAGTCTCGGATTTTGCAGGCTCATCAAGATCTATAAGGGGTAAATGTTCAGTGATCAGTAGGAACATGTCCCTGGCTGGTATGGAGGCGGTGGAACTTAAGATTGCAAGAGCCCTACATCAAAGCCAGCATGGGGTGGTGCATCATCTCATTCCATCCAACAGCCAGAGTTGTATCTTGTTGTCTGTGGCCATCTGACCTTCTTAGTGCTGCAAAAGAAGGGGTTGGAGGGCACGACTGCGTTCCTGAGGTGGAGATCATTGCTGCAACTTGGTTGAACATCCAGGCAATACAGCCCTTTGCTCGACCAAGCAAAAGTTTGGAACCTGGAATCCAACATCGAACAGATTGTTTTGCCTGGGATTTGCTATGGCTTTTGTGGGAAACAAAACTCATGGTCTGAGATGTTTTCGGAGAAACTTTGTTTTTTGCAAATGGCCCCTTGCTCCTGAGTAAGTGGCCCTTTGGCTTTTCACTGTCGCATTCAGATTTATTTACCCATCATGTTCAACACCACTCGTGCAAGGGAGGAGGGATTATACAACTTCATAGCGAGTTGAAATGAATTCAGGGATGGTTCTCTCTCACGCACACATATGCTATAGCCAAATGCTGCTGGGGTCTCTCCGATTTGTTGTCCGCCAAAGTTATGAAAACAAACTTAGAAGAACAGTGGCAGAACAATGAACAAGTGCGACAATGAAACAGTGAGACACCAGCAAGAATGAACAGCTCGAACTGGGAGGAAGCCACCTGCCCGACACAAACACAACGATCTGTGACAAGGCTTAATCATGTTCAAGCTCACTGCTCAGTTCAACCCAGACGCAGCCAAGGGGCCCCAATCCATCAGCCGTTTTCACGCTCAAATTAGACTGCCGACCGGGCCGACCGGCATTAACCTTCGTTCTCAGCCATTCTTCTCTTGCTGCAGCCGTGCTTTCTATGAAGGAAGCAAAGACAGAAGTGAGCTTCCAATTGGTACTTGAAAGGGGGAAGGACACATCCCCCAGACCTGCTGTCTAATTCGAGAGCTGTGGCAGTGGCAGTGCGCAACTTGTCGCTTCTAGGTTTGCATCTGGAAAAGTTTGCTGTGCCTCTCCACTCTTTCCACTGCACTGGCAATTGGTAATTTCAAAAGCCGGCTCACACCAACTCGTGGCTGCAAACAACGGATTGGAGTGATTGGAGTTCGAATTGTCAGCTTTCCAGAACCAAGTTGAGCTGCCCAAGTGAACCTCAATGGCGCTACAATAGTGTCCACAACTTGGCCACTTGCAAGAAGTGGTTGTTGCATTGAAGCAATAGCTTGAGTGACGGTTTAAATCCCGCCTCAATGACTGTCCTTAGTCCTCTGCTCCATTGCGTCATGGGATAGAAAGGTTGCTGGAGGATGCAGAGCATTGATTTGGCATTTGGCAGAGCTTGGGCTGGCAGGAAGACTGATGTGTGGCAGCATCCATGACAGCCAAGTTGGGGCAGGGTCCAACAGTACTGACACTTGGCCACCACTGTTCCATTCCTGACATGATGATTGGGCACCTGACGGAGGAAAAGGAATTGCCTGCAGCCAACACAAGTGTGTCTTGAAGAAGTGGCGCAGAAGGAAAGCTTGGGAAAGCTTTGGAAGTGTTGAGACATGCCAGTGGCTTTTCCAAGAATAGTTAAGCTGGTCAGACTTATTGTGTTCATTGGATGGCTAATCCTTTTCCAAGCCTCAAACTCTTTCTCATGACTCATGCCTTGCTTTTTTGTTTTGCTGCTCTATGGCGCCATGGCCCTCGTGAAGAACTGCCGGATGAGGCAGTGCCAGTGGAGGAGAACGTTGCGATGGTGCTACGAACATATTGCAGCATTGCAAGCTCAATGAGTTGGCGGGTTAGGTGTTTGAGTATACCCTGCCCGACCAGTGTGGCACTATCTTGGAGACACCAGTGAAATCACAGGGTATGAGAACCCACAGCAACATCTTCTTTACTTCAGGCACTTCATGGCCGACACGATTCAATGACCGATGGCTGCGTGGCGGCATGACACATAGGACAGTGATGGACAATGAGCTTGGGACCCTTTGATGAGCCTGTGGCTGTTTCTCACTGGGAATTGAATCGCTGCCCAGCAACTCAGCGTTAGTGTTTGAGCTGTTAGTTAGCCGTGCACAAAAGTGTGTTCGCAGCTGACCGTTTGCGCGGGTTTGTCATGACACGTGGCTCATAACTGTGTGCTGATTGGTGGTGGCAGTAAGCCAGGGCTTTCAATAAACTCAATGTTTCCAAGGGGGCCTTTGATCATTTGGCAATCTTGGGCAGGTGGTGGCATCCTGTCAGACTTCGTGTGTGTGCGTGTGTGCGTGTGCGAGTGTGTGTCCACAGTTCATTGTTCCATTGTTCACGGTTCTGCTGTTCAGTTCCACTATTCAATGCATAGAGGATACTATGATATACTATGCAATTATATGCACAAGTAACTTCTACATTGCACACACCTAAAAATAGAAGTGATCTAAACACCAAAACACAGGGCCACTTGCTCGGGAACAACGGGCCACTTGCCCAGAGAGAACATCGAGCCTTACGAGACCTTCAACCCTGGCCGAAGCTCAGGCGACATGGGGCGACCGTTCATTGATCCCTAGGGCTCCAGTCGTACCTTCCGAGTGTTTGGAGTGGTTTGGGATGGTCCAGTCGTACCCGGACAGACCTCGGACGCTTTTTGCGTCTCCTGCGACGGTTTCCGCGTCTTCCGAAGCGGCTTCTTCTTCCCGGTCCGGCGATGGTTTCCCGTTGACGCTTTCGAAGAAACTGTTCCCAAAATCAACTGAAGGATCTAAAAACGCAATTCCAAGGACGACACATGGCAAGCGAACAGCGCATCCAGAAAAAATCAGTGGAATGAAGCACCGCAAGAAGACGTGACGAAACACACATATAGAACGTGCCATGTTTGACAATATGGAATCTTCTACCAGAGATACCAGTCTTGGTCATTGATCAGGAATATCCAATCATGACCCCACAAACCCCCATATATAAGGCTAGTTATAGTTGGAATGCTGGATGAAAAGTCCAACAAATGGACTGTCCTGGCAAATGACGCAACAGCCTGTCTTCAAGGCTGCCTGGCAGAGTCTGCAAAAGGTTGAAACTGAGCAAACATGAATGAACTAAAAATCATTAAATAGCCAATAAATTCCTTCAAGCACTCTATCCAGGGTACTGACCCGGCTCCAAATCCGTAAGGTGACCTTTCTCTAACGAGGTGGCTGCCGTGGTGACAGACATGTGATATCCGGAGACAAGCCCTGATCTTGCTTCCCGGTTGTTGTCTTCAAAAAGCATCGAAAGCACCAATTGACGCCCATCAATGCAATGGTTGTTGCTCTTCCAGGGAACCTTGGATTGTTCCAAACAGTCCTCAGTCAAACATGAAACCCCAGAAAGTGTTCGTATTTTCAGAAAACAGATTGGTATCCTCATTGTGGTGGCATCAACAGTTTCATACTAATAGACTATGTGGCTGCTTGGGTTCCCGGTATTGCTGCTTGAACCCCACCACACCTGTCACATCTCAATGGTTTGCATGTGTTTTTTTTAAATAGACCTGACCTTCCATGTTGACCTTCTCCAACGACCCAGAGAGAACGGGCAGCTAGCCATAGGTGTCCCTGTCTCCACGGTGAATTCCCGCGCCGCATTCACGTCGTCGCCAGGTCGGGTCACCTCACCACCTGGTCTCCACGTCTGACGTCCTGCCACTCACGTCGTCCACGCCAACGCCTCGCGCTGGGGCAGCGCCGCAATGAGCCGCGCATCCACGGAGATCTCCGGACCGCCACGGCCCAGAGCCTGGCGAGGACGTGGAGAGGGTGGGGTAGGTGGGTGGGGTGGGTGGGTACTGTAACAGGTGTGTTTTGAAGAGGGTCCCTGGGTCCGGTCGTGATGTTGTGTTGGAGTAGTCCGGTCATGGTCTGGCAGCTGTTTTCACGAGAAGACAACGATGGACACGTTGCCACAACACATAGTTCGAACACTTAGCAAAATGGACTGTGAGGGTCTGGTTGTTAGATGTTGTTAGGGTCTGTTTCATGTCCTTTAGTGGTCTAACTCTTTTAAGATTTTGAGCGACCTTAAGCGACCTGAGAAGAATGACCAGAGTTTCCCTGAACGAACAAGGGGTCCATTTTTTCCCATTGTATCCGATGTTCTAAGGGCTATAGAACCACCAAATAATGACTCAGTCCAACAAAAAGTAAATAAGCACCAAACTTCCCAGCTAATCCCAGGCGGCGCAGGTCTTCCTGACCTGTCTCGGTTTGATCAAAAACACCAAGGAGTTCTCTTCGTTTCTTTGACCTATGACCGTGAGTCCAGGCCGTGGGCAGCTCCCCATCACCCCCGGAATCTTGGAACCCCGAGGTTCATGCATACCAAGGTTCGGGTGTACACACACATAGCGAAACGTCCTGTTTGACATCGATTGGTTTCTTTGCATGGTTGGGAGGGGGAACCCGTGTCGTCCCAAACAAACAGGCTAGGGGGAAAACCAATGGTTTCTGTTGGTTTGTGCAGTCCTCGTGCACATGGACACAATGCAAGTTCTATGTTTAAATCAACAGCAAGTTCGGCATCCTCTAGTTGAACCACAAACATCTGACTGCCATAGATTTGGTCAGTCAACTACGTATTGGACATGGCTTCTCATCAGTTCCACCCCCATGGGCGCCCATGGAATTCAACCCGCGCATGTTCCATCCACCTGCTCCAAATCCAGCAGCGCATCATAGCCTCAGAAGGTGGACATTCTTAGCTTGAGACTCTGGTGACAAGCCTTCAACCTGTAGCCTCTAGAAGGCAATACACCAAAAAACGACCCTGCACATCCCTGCACTGCCCTGCACTAGCAAGGGACTACTCTGCACATCCCTGCAATAAGCTGCACTACTTCCATTGAACACCCTTTCTGAAGGCAAACGGTTGATGCTGGTTGACTTGTCTCCAGTATACTGTCAGGACACTGAGCCACTTGAACTCTGAGCATCGCCCTCCTCTGCGGACGCTCGGAGTTCTCAGTGTCTGAACGCACCGGTTGATCACCGGTGTTTTCGGGCGCTGCAGGCACTGCACCCGGACACTGCACCCTGACACCACATGCAGGCGCTGCAGGCAGACATGGAAGTGGTGTTGGGGGAATCCAGGTCACTCGCGGACTGGTGTGTTGTGAATCATCAGTAAGTTCTTTGACCATAAATATAAAGTGTTTGTCTGATTTTCCATAATTCATTAGTGATTGTCCACTCTCGTTTCAATCTGTGATACATAAAGATTACCTTCTGCTTTGGTTTTCTTTTTGTGGGAGCAAACATGATGTCCTTTTTTCTAGGAAAAGATGATAGGACAACCACAGAACATCAGCTAACCCAAAAGCCAGTGGTTATAGGATTGATAGGTCCGATTGCAAGTTCTACAATTGAATTAGCCATAGGGATTACTCTGGTGCAATCCGACTCCCTGAGAAATCCCTCTTCTGCTTATTCTCTCAACATCCCACTACTATAAGGACAGCTACACACATATATATTCTACTTCAAGGATCTGAAGATGCCACTTCACATGAATTCTCTGCTTGCAAACCAACCTTTCTCAAAGCCATTAGAAACACAACCTCAACTCAAATCGACCTTCTCAAGTTTTGAAGTGGGTCTCCTCCCTTGAAAGATCTTCAACATGCAGCCAGGCACACGAATCCACAATGTCAAACCTTCAGATGTTGCATCCTCCTTCAGGTGTTTTCGTCCTTTTCCTTGTCCTTCCTCGTGTATCTTGGATCCCAGGAGTATGCGGCTGGCTTGCAGCGACGCGACGCAGTCCGCGACGCATATCCCCGTTGCATCGATCCCAGGATCCCCACGTGGATCCACACGTTCGGATCCGAACTCGGATAATCTGTTCTTGGCCAAGCAACTCATCTGACTCACATCCACACTGCACAGGAATTCCCGCAAGGCCTGGACCACTGCTTCTTCGGGCTCCGCAGGCGGGCGCGAAGCATCAAGCATCGATGGGGATGGGCAAACACAGAACATGTCGAAAAATTGTTTCGTGAGTTCTTAGGGAAGAATCATAATATATGGCCAGTGAACAGCTGGGGGGGATTGACGATTTCCATGTTGCTTGATGTTGCTTTGAGATGTCAAAGCACCTCCAGCGGACATACCATCAGAACGATCGCCAGTTCAAGCGATCATGTCAATGGATTCTGGCTTTGGTGCACCACCTGTGTGAACTGAGCTTGCAGTTTCCGTGGTTCAACGGATCTTGTACTCTCACATGTGTAACCCTCGTGATCGGAGACCAGTGGAAAAATGGCTGCATGTGGCTCCTATATGTACTCGGTGTTGGTTCATCAATCCCATCATAGGCCACATGGGTCTAAATCCACCTGCATCTCCTGCATACCAGGACCCTCCAAGGGATGCCCTGTCTGGAAGCCTAGGCCGGTAGTGTGGGGTAGTCCAGCCAGGACACCCCGACTGGAGGGTCCTGCATGCCATGGGCGTCTGGTATTATGTAATTCCTCCAATTCCTCCAGGCTGCTGAACATCCGGTCCGCTTGGGATGATCCATCGATCTGCTCAGCCCCGTCTGGCACCCTAGACCGCTCGGTCCGACCGTGTGCTCGGGACCTCGCGGAGGAAGGTGAGGGTACTTCGGAGGAGTGCCAGGACACCGACTGCAAAGGAGATATGGAGGGTTCTTTAGTGTTCCTTCTCAAAGAGGTATATATGATATGTGAAAAACGGTTCTCTTGGAGAATCATCTTCTTGATCCAGAGCTGCTCCCCCTCGGTCCCTGAGTTGATCACTATACGACAAGTATTACTTTGATCAAACACAAAAGTATCACCTTAGACCTCAGACCTGAACTGCACCAGACGCAGGCACGTCACGTGCCTGTATTTTCATAGGGAGAGCCCCCATCGCGAATCGCCGTAAGCTGGGTAGACTGGTCTATTTCCCGAACCTTAGGGATTGCCTGGGAGGTCTCCCTATTTAAGCTACGCACCCATATCACATGCACCTGGAACAAACCAACAGTCACCTTATGTCACCTTGGTCCGAAGTGATCATCAGGCCCACATCGTGCAACAATGGTCATAGTTCTCCAGGTTTTGGTGAAACATCCATTGGAATGGTCCCATGCTGCCCTGCCTCTCCCAATGGTCAAAACGTTTTTTTCGATCCCCAACGCCATCCCATCACATCGATCCACCCATGCCTCACACTGATCCACATATGGAATGTATCGGAGGAGGGCCTGGCGAGCGCTGAGAGCCAGTGGTGGGTGGAGACTGGTACCGACAGAAACTCGTGGCTGAGTTGTTGGGTTTTGCACCAAAATCATGTTTAACCAAAAATATTCAAGACAACCACTGTGTCTGTGTGTGTGTTCATTTTTTACAGCCAGTGGCGAAAAATGACGATCTTGAACTGAAACACAGGATGCTGCAGCAGGGTTCTAAGGACGACTAAGATGTTGGCCTGACTCAACATCGATGAGATTCATTGGACACCTGGGTATCGTGGTGGTAGTTAGTAGTAGTAGTAGTAGTAGTAGTAGTAGTAGTAGTAGTAG